GTGTGAATATTTTGGCTCTCTGAGTTCTCTGTGAAAGTACTTTTGGCCAAAATCCACCTGGAGTGGGAAAATTTTAAAGGTGATATTGTGGTTGGTATTTGCGATTTGCTACCCACTGATATCTTGATTGTTAATGATATCATAATTATGTTTCATCAGGTTAATATCATAACCAGGTCACAGAGAAGTTATGGCTCTGATGCAGGTACCCTGCCTGGTGTCAGTGAGGAAAACTGCGAGCAGGTAAAGAGCGTCTCCCAGCTTATGCCAGTTGAGAACTTGTCTGATACGATTCTGAGGTGATTCTGGACTTAAATTAAACACAGGAAGAATTTGTTGCTGCTCAGAGTAGAGCTTCAACTGAAGAAGGAAGGGGAGGATTTTTGTTTAGGAAGGCTCCTTCAGGGAAAGAGAGGCTTCCTAGTGAACTTGGAAACAGATAATTAATTGTGCCTGAAGAGTGCAGGAGAGAATTGCTCCCAATAGCTCGAGAAGAGCCATTGTCTGTGGAGAAAAGCAGTGTACCCACTGAAAAAGCTGTCCCCATTGCTAAATGCCAGAGTTTTCCAGCTGAGCATAGCTCTACTGACTTAACTCTACAGAGTACCAGGAAAGGTGGCTTTGCAAAGGTTTCAGAAGGGGAAAATGGAAAAAGAATTTTGGGGGAATATAAAGACGCCCTGTAACCAGTTGGCTTTGCCTAACCAGCATTTTAGAGTAGTAGAGTGGTTGGCATATCCTATGCTGATTCCTTAATGGAAAATGCCCAGGACAGAGAGGCTGATGCAGCACCTGTCCATCTAGCTTGTGTGTCAGATCCTGCTTGGGTAACTGACTTTTCAGAGCAGAGCAGCCATGCAGACGAACCCTCGGGAACACAAAAGGTGGTGGTAGACAGACTCTCACCTCTAGACCCTTTGAATATGTCCTAGTGAGCTCAGGTACATCTGATTCCATGTGGAAGCACAATTTAATAGTTGAAAGTCACCAGGACACTGATTCTGACATGTGGGTGGAAACTGACTGTATCTCCCTAGAGACGGAGGCCAGTCTTTGAACTTGTAATGGCTGTAGATTCAAAATCAAGCAATCAGCAGTGTCTGTAAACATCCAAATTAACTGGCTGGGAGGGGGAAGGGAGCTTTGCTCATAGCCACTTACCCAAAGAAAGCTGCTGAGAGGATGCTGCTAGAAACAGATATTCCTAGTCAGCAAGCAGAGTCTTTTAAACAAGAAGGCTCAGATTACAAATTGTCCAAGAATGGGAGGCGGAGAAGGGCTGGATCCTGAAGGTGAGGGTCTGCTAGTATACAAGATTCTCCTACACCCTTACCTCACTGAACCCTAAAATACCAGAGCCCTAAAGATATGATTGAATTAAAGGCATATGTCAAGAGAAACACTAAGGTGAAGGAAACGCTAATGACTAGTTATAGTGCTAATGATAAATCTTGTTTTTCATTACACGGTTTACCATAAGCACCATAATTTTCATTACAAATGAGTGTTTACAAGTATTTTTGTTACACCATGCTTTCTGCTTAGACAGTTTGTCTCTGAGGTCAGTTTGTTCAATACCCTTCTTGAACCTTTGCACAGTGAATCTTCGTGTAAACATGGTCATCTTTTTTTTATATACAGCGTCACACTCCGAACACAAAATTGATGTAGGAATGGGTGTCCCAGACACTGCTGAATACATCCTAAGAATTTCCCATTCTTTGTAAGGACTGTTATGGGGGTCACAACGTTACCGAACCCCTTTACAAACCTATTGTAACAATTAGGCAGACCAATAATGGATTGGACCTGCTTCTTTGGTCTAGGGGCAGGCCAGCTTTTGATGGCCTCTACTTATAAGAGATCAGGGCATACCAACCCATTGTTCATCCTGTGTCCTATATATAGGATACTTTTGCAAACCCTATTCTGCATTTGGAGACTTTGGCAGTGAGGTGGAGTTCCTTCAGCTTTTGTAACACAATTCTTACATGATTTATGTGATCTTGCCAGGAGTTACTGAAAACAGCTAAATTATTTATACAAGCACTGGCAAATGTTTGTAATCCATTCAACACTTTGTGAACCAGTATAGTGATTTTATGGACTAACAACTATGTCACCTTATGATAGACTACACCACCAGTCTGAGGTATATGCCCTGTATTCTAGCAGTTTGACCTGAGATTGGCGCTTGTGTCCCATACCAGATGGTGTGACACCTAGATTATCTTTAATCTCCACCCCATCCTCAGCGCTTAGTGGTCCCACTTCTTCTTTACTCATTATGTTCTTATTTATATGGCTATAGAAACATTTACTAATGGTTTTAATTCTCTTTGCAAGGTCCAACTCTGCTTGGCTTTTGGTAGTTCTCACTTTATTCCTACACTTTCTGACCTCCAAGAGGTAGCTTTCCTTGCTGATACATCCCATCTTCCATTCCTTGTAGGCTTTCTGCTTTCTCTTAATCACCTGTTTGAGATGTTTGCTCATCCAGCTTGGTGTCAAACACTTCCCTACAAGGCTTTTCCCCTTGCTTGGGATGCAGGCTTCAGATAATTTCTGCAACTTTGACCTAAAGTAATTCCAAGCCTCCTCCACATTTAGATCCTTGAGTTCTTCAGTCCAGTCCACTTCCCTAACTAATTCCCTTAATTTTTTTAAGTTTACCCTTTTGAAATCAAGGACCCTAGTTGCAGATCTATTTTTTGTTTATTCTTCCATTTAGTTTAAACTGAATTAGCTCACGATCACGCGAACCAAGGTTGTCCCCTACAACCAGTTCATCTAGGAGGTCCTCACTACTCACCAGAACTAGATCTACAATGACATCACCTCTTGGTGGTCAGCAACTATTTGGTGAAGAAATCTGTCAGCTATCACATCTAGGAAAATCTGGACCCTACTATTATTAGTAGCACTTGTCCTCCAATCTATATCAGAGAACTTAAAGTCTCCCATAATCACTCAATTCCCAGTAATATTTATTTCATTAAAAACATTAGAGGTCTCTATCCATATCCAAATTGGATCCTGGCGGTCTGTAGCATACCCCATCTGCTGATCAAGCACTATCCCAGGAGAACCACTACTAGCTTTCTTCCCCAGGGTGCTTTTAGCCCAAACAGACTCTGTCTTATCCATTCCATCACTTCTAATTTCTTTCCAGTCTACCTCATCATTACATACAATATTACCTTTATTTCTGTCTTTTCTGAACAGCACATACCCTTCAATTCCTGTACTCTAGTCATGACTACTATTCCACCATGTTTCTGTTATTCCGAGAATATCTGGTTTCACTTTCAGCACCAGTAGTTCTAGTTCCTACATTGTAGTTCCCAGGCTTCTTGCATTGCTGTAACATCATAGTTGTTTCTGCTTGTGTTTCACACGGTCTCCGACCAGTGTCTGCAAACTGAACAGGGGGAAAAAAAAACCCTCCCCCGCCCACAAAACAGAAAAAACACACACAAAACTCACTCACTGCCTCTAAGGTACAGGGGTTTGCCTCCTCCCTTCTCCTCCAACAGAACTCCCACTCAAACTCCCGTTTACAGCTCTGTTTGCTGGCTCTTGTGCTCCTGTTCCTGTTTTATACCCACTTCACACAGGTACAAATGAATGCCCAGGGAGTAGAGAATCAGGCCCCAAGCATCTAAATGTTCTCTAGGTTAAGAAGCATTCCAAGATTTTTTTTATCACTGTTGGTATTTCTCAACCTAGCATTGGGGGAAGACCATATAGCTACAATGTGACCCTAAAAAGTGCAGGACACTCATAGGAGAGACTGTAAACCAGCGTCCAACCTGCCTTAAACTTGCTGTAACAGACTGGGGAGGAAATGATGTTTAAAAGTGTGTTTTTGAACCGTTAATGTTATGATTGTTGAACAGTTCTTATACCACGGTAGAAAGCGGTCTTACAGATTCTTCCACTGGGTTTTCACATTGATAGCATCAAATGCATCCCGATGTAAACAGAGAACTTTCACTGTAGTCCATGGGAACTATGCCCACTTACACCAGGGTTGAATTTGGCCTCTTGTATCACAAGTTTTGACAAGAGGGCTGCCTCCAGCCATAAGCTTAGAAATGCCAATTATAATGTAACAATTTCCTAATTCAGTGTTTAAAGTTTTCAGTTTATTCCTGGAGATAAGCCATTTTTACCTATTCTATGATTTTTTTTTTATACAGCTGAACAGGTGTAGTTTTTCTTTAAGACACTACCACAACTTCCTATGGGTCAAGTTCTGCCCTCCAATAGGGCTCCCACTGGAAACTCTGAAAGCTGTGCGTGTATTTGAAGGCAAAATTTGGCCAAGTCTTGGGACACTCTTGCACCTTGCCAGGATTTCTATCACAGGGTCCAGTTCCATACCTTTTATGTATGTTAAACATTTATTAATGCAAGTCGCCCCTCTGAAGCCAGTGGGACTCCTGGCAAAATACTGCTCAACATGCGTAAGGGTTGCAGAATCAACTCCCTTAACATGCATGATGTACCAATTTCTTTACCAAGAGTTCCACAGTAAGTTGCATATTCTGAATTGTACATAACTAGTTAAGCAAAAATCACACATTCGGCATCGTTAGGGAAAAAAACAGTTAGGTAGGTCAAACTTGACAGGGACCACAATCATATCATACAGCTTTAAAAATTAAAAAATTAGACTTTGTAGAGAGATCTGTCTGGGAAACAGAATAAATATGCTTGGATAGTAATATACAATTTAATCCACTCATGAATAAAGATGCCTGAAATTCATTTGTAGTTTGGCCACTCATGAGTTATCAGGTTATTAACTTTTTTGGATAAATGCATCATCTTAGTCCAACTCATCATCATCAAATACAAATTATTAAAATAAGACATGGACAACTGCAATCTTTTAGGTTTACATGCATCTTGAATGAAATCCAATACTACAGTCTAGAGAGGGGAAATGACTGCTTTAAATATACAGAAACAGAATGCTTAAAAAGAGCACTTACTTGCCAATCCTTTTTCACAGTTCTTCGTGCCTGAATTTGTTCTGCATGCCTTATAACTGCAGGTTGATTCACTTGCACTCTTGAGATCGAGCCAAGGTCTAGGAAGAAGACTCCCATTAATTTTAGTGTATTTTTAATATATTTTAATGGTATTTTAAAAGGAAAGGTCCTTATAATTCAAGTCCTTTGAAGGTAGCTTTGGACTCGTGTGCCCCTTTAAGGACGTAAAGGTCTTTCACCAATGCAAAATATTAAAAACCCCTTTAGCGTGACACCTTGTCAACACTTATTCAAGGGAAGGGTCTGTGAATCAGATGTATATATTGGCTTTTTGTTTCCCTTTAAAACTTCTGAGTTAATTTAATGGTGTTGAAGGATGACAGATTGCTAGTCCTGGACTCTGAAATCTTCTATGCCTATAAGACGTACAGCACAGAAAATGGCAATTCAGTTTCCTCACACTACCCACCAGTGTGCTTCACTAACCTCTGACTTGTCCCTTGAGGGGCAAGATTGTGCCCGTTCAACCTTTGGCTGCTCTGCTCAGGCTGCCAGTTATAACCAATTGTGATGTGGCCACTTGTCTCCTGGGATCTATGCTCATGCCATCACTTTTCACCAAAGCTACCACCCAGTGCCTGTGATGGTAAGGAGTTTGGGTCACTATTGTCCCAGGCGAATTTCAACTAGCAGCCTACAGATCAGGCCCTGTGTTTACCAGTTTCCAGAATCACCCATTCTTTGAAACACATACACACACACACACACGCGCGCGCGCAAATTGACTCTCTCAAAACCTATGAGATGCTGCATACTCCCTAAGAGGTGCTAAGCACTCTCAGCCTTTAAGGAAATTGAAGGAAGAACATTCAAAAGTGGGTAATGATTTGGATGTTGGGTGCTGGGCATCCACAAACTGCAAGTGAAGTCAACAGGAGCTCTGGCTTCTCCCCAACTCGGATAGTCAGGCCTAAGCTGTTCCAAGCTGAGCACCAAAAATTGGAGGCACCCAAATGAACATCCACTTTTGAAAACAGGCTAAATAGCAAATGAGAGCGGAGGGCACTCAGCACATTCCAGGATTAGGCTTTCTACATCTTCAACTTTGAAACTTTCATTGGCATGACAATGCAAATGTTTTAATTTGAATTAACGTTCACTTGTGTACATATACTCTTGATCAAATAACGAGTCAATGATGAAACTAAAGGCAGATGGATATAAGCAAAGAAAAATATTCTATAAATCTATGGTCAGTTAAACTCCAACTAGTTCTTCCTAAATATCTCTTGACCCGGGAATTAAGCCATGTGGTCACTCTGAAGAAAACTTACCTATGGATATGCAAAGCTTCAAAGGTAAGATTTCCAAAAGTGACTAGTGATTCCGAGTGCCTCCATTTTTTAAAGCCCAAATGGAGGTACCTTAAAAAGGGCTTAATTTTTCAGGAGGTAGGTGCTCTGCACTTTCTGAAAAATCAGGTCCCTTTGAAGAGTCTTCAGTTGAACACCCAACAGCTGAGGCAACCAAAAATCACTAAGCACCTTTGGAAACCTTGGCCCAAGTCTTTTTCCTCATTGGACTCTAAGATTGACAATGACCAGCTAACACATTTTTAAAGTTGTTAAACCTTGTCTATGTTTGTGTTTAAAATTGTGTTAGTTCAAATATATTAGACAATACATTTTTAAGCACAGCCCATTTTCCTAATTTATATATGACCTGGGACTTTCTGGAAGCTCAAGGAGGAAACAAGTGCGACTGGGAGGTTAAGGGGAGATGTGGTGGGAACGCAGAACAAAGGCAAGAAACCAAGGCCTGGTCTATGCTAAAAAGTTAGGTCGACTCATTTATGTTGCTCAGGGGTGTGAAAAATCCATACCCCTGAGTTATGTAGTTAAGGCAACCTAATCCCTGGTAGAGACAGCACTAGGTCAGTAAAAGAATTCTTCCATCCATCTAGAAACTGCCTCTCGAGGAGGGGGATTACCTAAACCAATGGGAGAACCCCTCCCGTCAGTGTAGGTAGTGTCTACACTGAAGCGCTACAGCAGGGCAGCTGCAGCTGTGCCGCTGTAGTATTTTAACTGCGTTTATCAGCAGATTAACTGGAGACATCTGTACAAAGCTAATAGCATGCAAAATTTTAACATCCCACCAATCCAACATTTTCTTACTACCACGTATTTATTTACAGATAATTAAACAAGCAACAAAGACATAGAGAAAACACTGGCTGCAAGCAGAGAAATCAAAATGAACCAAGTGTGTCAGATGTAATTATAGAGAACAAATGATCATTTACAAATTTGTAATATTTACAAATTTGTAATGTTTCCATCAAGACTGTAGCAGCATTCACCATACACATCCACTTATGCTTTAAAATCAGAGAGGAAGGAATTTATGTAATTGCAAACACATTTATAACAGAACCACCTCAATGATTCTGCATTGGCTAAGTCAAAAACCTGCACATTCAAAGGAACAGCACTCTGGTCTCGCCCCACATCTCTGAAAACATCAGAAAGTGCTATAGTTATATCTTCTTATAGCCTGGGGTTGGTGGTAGAATTTTCATCCCTTTAAGAATTTTTGACAAATGAAACGCAACTGGAAGACCTTTGAACATGCACATATAAACAGTTTAACTATAAGGTAGCTGATCCCTTAGGGCTTGTACACACTAGCACTTCGGTATAACTTTAAGTCTCTCAGGGGTGTGGAAAAGCCACACACCCCCTGAGCAATATAAGTTACACTGACCTAAGTGCCGGTGTGGGCAGTGCTATGTCAACAGAAGAAGCTCTCCCGCCGACTGGAGCACCCATGGGAAAAAAATAGTGGGTGCTCAGCACTCACCAGTCACAGCTGATCAGCAGTGCCCCCAAACAGCTGATCAGCGGCTGGAGGAGGGCAGAGAGCAGTGAGCAGGTAGGGGCATCAGGGGGCGGGAAGAGGCAGAGCGAGAGCAGGGCGTTGCGGGAGGGGATGGAGTGGGGGCAGGGCCTCGGGGCAAAGCAGGGGGGGAGCACCCCCGGGGAAAAGAAAAACTCAGTGCCTATGGATGGGAGAGCTCTCTGCACTAGCAGCGCTACAAGGGCGCAGCTACATCGGTACAGCTGTGCTGCTGCTGTAGCAGTACTAGTGATGTTGAGATCCTGAAGTGATCAGTGTTCCCAGAAGCCATTATATACAATGTTTGACTTAGTCTACAGAGAGGAATTAAAACATGGATCTGTGTCAGAGCTGTGATTCTCCTCCTGTGTGCCTAGTGTACAGGCAGAATCATTAGACCTTGCTGCAATTTATCAAGACTCCTGATAACTTTAGTACCTACTGGGGGCAGCACGACCTTTCAATCCCTTTGGAGGATTTGATCAATTCTTTTAGAAGCTCAGTACCTCGTCTGAAATGCTTTACCTCTTCTCTAATAAGACCTACTGTCCAGTTACTCTGGCACTGGACGGCAAACAGTGAAGAGTCCCCTTTGTTCATAATGTCCTGATTCTTTCCAGACTCACTCACTCACTGAAAGACAATTGAGTTGATCTGTCAGAAAATTAACTTTGTATCACTTCTTCATGGAGCTAAAAAGTCTGTCGTAACACATGACTGCTTGTACAGAATATGGAAAGAATGCAGAAGAGGAAGGATTGGAATGTTAAATCCAATTTGTTACAAATCGGTAATTCTTTCCTTTTGTGCTATCTTATGCCATAAACCTAAATCTGACTGAGCGTGAGTCTACACAGCCAAAACTGTGCACAGGTTAGCCTACCAAAGTGACACAACAGCAGTGAGGACAGCGCAGCACGGACCTCAAAGTTGGCTAATGAGCCGAGTACGGACCCAGGGACCATGCAAGGCTTGTGCTTGGTCCCTGCATGGTCACACTGCATGGTCTTCACTACTACTGTTATCTACTCTAGCTGGATTCAAGCATGCTTGTGTCAGCTAGCCTGCACACCGGTTTTTGCTGTGTAGACAATCCTTCGGGGGGTAAGAAGAAACTTCCCCCGTGGGCAAGTTATTCCATTATTATCCACTTTGGAGTCTTTAGCAACTTTCTCTGATGCATCTGATACTGGGCATTCTTAGGGACATGATACTGTACTAGATGATCTAATCTGGTTATGGCAGTTCATATGGTGCTAGTTAACCCATTGGTCAAAGCTACTGAGGAACTCTGGGTAATTTTCTCTGGGAGGGAGAATCACAGACATATATTTGAGGAAGTAACAAGCATGTTAACAGATATATTTGTTTTAAACAAAAGACACAACTGAGTCTGTGCCATTTGAGAGATGGCTGGACAACTGAGGAAAACCAACCATCCCATTAAGGGATTCTTCTGTTAACTCAACTTATGTTTTCAGTTTTCCCATTCAATACCCCCTTAAAAAGTCATCTGCTCAATATTAATTATCATTACTAGTACAACACCGAAAAAGCATGCCGGGTTCTTACCAGAACAAATAAAACGAGAGTCCAGATTTTTACAGATTACAATGCTGAGCAGAGCAATGCCCAAATACCTTTAAAAATCTGGACCAAAATCCCTGCCAAGAAGAATTTACAATGTAATATTAGACATGTGAGGCAAAGTGTGAGGGTAACAAAAAATTGTAAGGGATGTGGTGTGGAAGGACAAAGGTTATGGTAATAAGCAGGAGCAGATGGAGTCTCCAATGCAGCACAGATCCTTTCTTCAAGCACACATCTCTATTAATTAAGAAGGGGATGGGGAAGAGAAAAATAAATAAATATGTATCAGCATAATCATCTTTAAATAGATTTTCAAAGTTTCCCATGTGAGATCTTACCAGACCTTTAAACATAAATGTCTTTATTCAGAAAAAAAAATCAGTCTCAATCCTAACTTTTGTCTATTAAAATTCAGAACATAACCATTATTTTAAACAGAACTGTTTGCCTTGGATTCCCCCCCCCACACACACTTTATGATTTAGAGAGTCTGGCTAGGGAAAACTATATTTAATTAGGCTCATTAACCTTGCAGTGTGAACACTCCTTTTTTAAAAAAAAATAAGTCATCTGCTAGTCATCTGCATAGTCATGTGGCTTCAGGGATAAG